ACCGGGGAAACTGACTAGAACAGGCCTGAGTTCTGATTTTCCCTTCTGGGAAGGGGTGCTGGGGAGGGAAGTTGGAGGTACCATTCAAAAACATGAGGACCCCTCACAATGCACACAGGCCAGGGGACACACTTGCGGGGGGAAAGGCAGAGGAACACACCAGTCCCATCTTCCTGTCACACAGGACTCTGTCCCAGGAGAGGCTCTGGAGGGTGGAGGGCAAGGTTCCTAGGATGTCCCTGACGGCAATTCTGCCTCAGCTCCCGCTGCACACCAAGCCAAGGCTCAGGGTCCTTGGTCTGCTGGGACTGAAGCAAGGAAGCGCAAGTCAAGCCAGACTCCAGCTGGTGGGCAGAAGTGGGCTTCCTCGGCTTGAAGTGCGTGTGCTCCTTCTTGCCATTTGGAAGGTCAAACGATGGTGGGGGGGTGAGGCGGGGGGTATGTCACACACACACACACACACACACACACACACACTGAAGGTCCAGTTGACAACACGCTAATCACACAAACCAAAGCCAATGGTCTCAAACTCAAGCTAGCCCCAGAAGTAAGAGGAGGACAGGTTTCAGACAAGTGCTGCCCCCAGCTGCCCCAGCACCTCCCCTGCCCCGTTCTTGCCCCTCGAGACCTTTGAGAACATACACTGCCCACCCGCAGCCATCTGACTGGCTGACTTCTTCTGGCCTTTCAAAACCTGCTCTGACATTACTCCCCCGGGGGGAGGGCAGTTCTTCCACCCCACCGTCCAGGCTGGGTTCCTACAGGATGCTGTGCTCCCAAGATCCCCAGAAGTCTCTTACAGCCCTTACCGCAGAATGCCATCATCCTTCTTGTCCCATGTGCCTGCAGCACCTCCTCAGGAGACAAGTGAGGCTCCTCTTGCCCCAGCTCACCCTTCAGGCTCGAATGGGCCCCGTTTCCCAGAGCCAGCACCCCAGCTGGAGGTGAGGTGGCGGCTCCTCAGAGAAAGGTGACCTCACCATCTCAGTCATGCACCAACAACTAGCCTGAGCTAGAACTGTATTTGGACAGAGGATGGGGCATGGGGAGTCAACCCTAACTCAGACAGCTTCCTTCGCTCCAGGTCAGCAGTGTATTCTTGTTGGAGGAACACACATCCAGGCACATCCAAGATCTCTCCACACAAGCACACACAGCGAGACTGGGGTCACATACACAACATCCTGTCACCCAGAGGGCCTCGCACATACAACCTCCCACATGGCTTCTGTCCATCCCCATCCTCAGGGATACACAGCCTGTCACTTGTCACACACATGCAGCCTCGAACACGGAGGGTCTCGGGCACACGCACATGCATCATCTCCCATGCCAAGTTTCACCTACGCGTGCACGCTCGCACACGGCACATAGCCCTACACTCACCGGGCACACACCCCAAGTCTCTTGTACTTTCTCTCGCAACACAGAGAGCGTCTCTCTCACACACGCAGCCCCTCCCCGCGTGTGTCTCTTTTATATGTCCTCTCCTCCTAGTGCCCTCCTCACACACCTGAAGTTTATCTCTCAGGACACACGGAGCTGCCTCTCTCCCCTTGGCATGGAGTTTTTCTAACATGCAGACTCTCACACACTCACAGAATCTCTCTCACGAGGTCACCAGCTCTCCCCCCAACACACACACACATTTTATTCTCACACACATGAAGAGCCTCACACCCACACAGATCTCTCTTACACACAGGTTTCCGCTCTCACACACAGCCTTTCTTCCACACGCGTTTGCAATGTGATGCCCATCTAAGAGGACTCTGAACTAGAATCAGAATAAACATTTCAATTCCCGCCCACTAAGTGGAAGGAGCTTGGTGCCCTGAGAGGGGGAGAGGTAAACAAAGGTGACAGCACCGGCTGGCCACAGCAGCAGAGCAAAGGAGGGAGGGAGAGAGGGAGTCAGGGAGGGAGGGTAGGCAGAAGGCTGGTCCCTACGCAGCTGATCTGCAGAGAGGCAGCGCAATGCAGCTAAGCCAGCTGGGCACGTGTGTGTTGGGGGGCGGGGGGCTGGCACGTAGGAGCCTGGGTTCTAATCTCAGCTCTGTCCTCAGTTCTGGTGTGGCCTTGGGCAGGCCCCTCCCTTTCTGGTCCTCAGTGTCCTCATCTGTCTCTCAAGGGTTGGAAGAGACTCCAGCCTTTCTGTGAGGTGACCAGGGAGAGAAGGGCACAGGCAGGTTAGGGGCAGTGCCCTCTCCCAACCACCTCCACACCCTCTAAATCACCCAGCTTTGCCCTCGGAGTGAACATTCATCCAAGAGAATGAAGACTGCCCTATCAGGCTGTGGATGCCAACCAGATCCCAATCCAGACAAGCTGGTCTATTTGTCCTTAGTAGGTGAAGGCCCCCCATAATACAGGAACGTAAGGTGAGAGGAGATGGAGAGGGGAGGGGGTTGCAAACTGCCCTATATGACCTCAGCCCTAAAGCTGAGCCCGAAGGTGGAGACAGGATTGGGGGCGGGGGGGGGGGGCAGTTTCATGCCAGAGAGCCAGGAAGTGAGAGGACAACAGGACGCTGGGCCTCATCCTTGCTTGGATGGGGTGTGTGTGCGTGCAAGGGATAGGGAAAGAGATGAAGCTGCCCAAGGTCAAATGTGGGTTGGACAGGCAGCTGCTCGCCCAAGCCCTCGCCCAGCATGCCCTCCTCCAACATGTGTAGGTTCAACCTCCAAGCCCCCCTCCTCCCCACCATTCAGCCAGTCTCCAGTTACATAATCCTCTGGCTGAGGGGGCCTGTGTCAGGGAAGGCAAGGGGAGGGGAGGTCTCTGAGGACCCCAGTCCACTCTGGGGAATGGGAAGGAGCTGGTAGACAACTCAGAGGAGGATGGGGTCCTTGGAGACCTGGGTTCTAGTCCTGCTTGGCCTCTAGCTCCCAGAGTGACCTTGGGCACAGTCTTCAGTGGCAAAACCACGGGCCTGGCTCTCTACACACACACACACACACACACACACACACACAC